AGCTAAATTTTTAGACTTTAGCAAAACCCTTTCCGTATAGAGGTGATTTGTAAATCACGTATCGATTGCTAAAAATAGATATCAATTTTCCCGCGATTGTCCATTTTCAAAGATATCAATCCGGTTACCGTAGTACTGACGTCGATGGTATACGCGTCGTCGAGGTCAACGCTGGGAATCGACGCTCCGCGAGAATCTCGCGAGGTGAAATCGTCGATGCACAAAGTGTCACGTACCCATAAGAGGGCGAAGAGAGTTATTCCTGTATGCTCTTGATACTATAGGAGCGCAAAGGATAGACGGTCGAGATGATAGATCTGACAAAGAAAGTTCGGCGAGTGTGAAATTAAAAAAATTTTGAACTTTGCATAAATTTAAAGTAGATGGATCCAATCACGAAACAAATTTTGTTTAACTGCTATAATTTGGTTTCAGAAGTGCAATACTTTCTTCGATAAAATTGATTTTTACACATAGAAAAATATCAGTTTGTTGCTAAGAAAAGTGATTACTTAATTTACTTTTTTTCTTTTAAGACTCAATTATCTTTAACAAAGAATATTTTTTCTTGATAATATCTTAAAATACATTTATTGCAAATTTTAAAAACTTACTAATGTACATGTATTCAAAACAAGAATTTATTTTCTTTTAAAGAATAATATAAAATTGATTGAAGAAGCGACACTTTATATAATATATAAGCGAATTAAATCTAAAAATTCTCACTATAATTACACTGGCAATTACAATAAAATTAAAATTACAAGTATTCATAATGGTAATAATCGTCCTAGAGAAGAATTCTGATCATCGTAGAACGTATTTTGGAATAAATGCTCGTTTTCCGCTAGTATATGAAAAGAATTTTGCTGAAATATCTAAAAGTATATATATACAAATCTCTGAAAATGATTTTGTTGGACGAAATAAAATTATGCAGAACACTCAAGATAGTTGCTAAAATGTAAAAATTGTTCATTATGTTTTAGTATCCTACAATGATGACCCAACAAAATCATTTTCAGATTTGTAACCAGCTAAATTAAATTTTGGACACCTCAGCAAAATCATTCTTTCCGTATAGATTAACTTTAATCTCGATTCAACCTATTCTTCGTCTTTTCTTAATTCTTAAAACCAGAAAAAATTATCGAACCATCAAAATAATTATATAGAATTCAAAATAATTGTTAGAATGTCAATACTTTTTGCAATATTGTTTGTTATACGTTCTACATAATTCTATGGTCCAACAAAATTATTTTCAGATCTGTATCCAGCTAAATTTTTAGACACCTCAGCAAAATCATTCTTTCCGTGCAGATTAACTTTAATCTCGGTTCAACTTTATTCTTCGTCTTTTCCTAATTTTTAAAACCAGAAAGGAATGAAGAGTAATAAGTTGAACTGAGATTAAAGTTAATCTATATTGGTGGAAACGGGTATTAATCACCGAGAAAACGGCCGCGAGCGGAGATTCTGGATGACGACATTGAGAACAAAGGAACGATGAGGTATTTCACGAGTAATCAAAAAATGATCCGACGCTTTTGCGAAGGTGTCGAACAGCTATTATACACTTCAAATGTGAGACTGAACAACTGTTGTCACACACAAACCCGACATTAAATCGACGGGATTCGATTCATTACGGGATGCCGAGAGAGCGTTCGATTCCGCCGACCTCGGTTAGCGCTAACCCTAGTTTAACCGAGAACCCTCTTCCCCTCTCCTATTCTGTCGTATACCTTCGATACGAGCGGGGGTCGCGTTCGCCGTTGATCAACGGCTCTAAATCGGTAAACGTGTAATTTTCCTCTATCGCGCGTAAATTACACGCGGGCCACGTAATCGGCGAACGGAACGAATCCCGGACGAATTAGGGTTTCTAGCGAATTAACCGCGGCCTGTCGTTGTCAACGACGAGGCACGACGATCACGAACGTGCGGCTGTATCGCGTTCGCGGAATCGAGCTATGGTAGCAGCCAACGAACCGGTCGGTCGGTGCATCAGCTGAGAGCCCAGCTGAACCCAGAGAGAGCGACCGCTGTAATAACCTCAAGCTGTCTCCCTCTTTCTCACACTTACAGCACTCACACACTCACACGTTACACGTACGCGCGTTCGTGTAAACGGTGCATAGTCACGGGGGGAAGGGAATTTTCGTAAAAACGCCGTCGACAGGATTAGACACCGTACCTGGTCTGTCCTGAACGGCGTCCCGGTGATTTCGGCGATGGTTGTCCGTGTAAGCCTCGCCGGTGGTTTCCGCGAAACTTTTCGAAAGCCCACTCTCACAATGGAATCTTCCAGTAGACTGGCCGAGCCGGCGGCGGCGAGCGGAGGAGCGAGCCGTTCTCCCTTGCGTGCGCACCCACCGTGCGCGGCGGCGGTTCGGCTTTTTCGACGGGGGAAAAAAAGACGCGATCTCGTAACGGGTACGACCGGTGACACCGACGGGACGCGTCCGCGTAACCGGCACGAAAACGCTGCGCGTCACCGGCACCGGCACGTACACTCGCAGCACGGAAAACGCGGACCACGGTACGTGACGCGCGCGCGAACACCGCTGATGACAGCTCGAGCTCGGCGAGCTGTCACTCCGCGGTGACCGTCCAAGCCAAGTTACGTTCGTGTCGCCATCTACCGTCGCCAGACGGAAGGTCGAGACCTACGAGACGGCCGAGCGGTCGTCGCGTCGCTTTCGAAGTGACGGTAGCGCTTATATCGCGTCGACTATCTTTAGAGAAATTTAAGATTAATATAACGGCCAATTAAGTTATATTCAGTATTAAAAGTACTCTTAATGATACTTTTAATACTCAAAATAAGTGATTAATTAGTCAGTACTACCGACAACGTTCGAGATTCTTTAATATGTTTGTATTAAAGAATTTTATGATAATTGCAAAGCTAATTTTTCTGGTAAATGTAGTCAAGGTATCGAAAGATCAAAATGGCGAAAAGTGTGAAAAAGATTTTTTTGATGGATCAATAATATATTCTCAAATTTTTTAATACAAATTGGAATATTTAAAAAATGCTAAGAAAGTCTGCATCATCTTTTTTAGAAGAATAGACTTTCTCAGCATTTGTTAAATAATTCAAGTATATTTCAATTAAATTAAAAAATCTGAAAAATTCCTAAAAGGAGATTCTGAAAACAAATTGTAAATAATTTTGAAAAATTCTGAAATTTATACAAGAATCACACTCCGAAAAATTATATTAAAAATTCTCAGAAAAATTTTTAATAGGTTAAAAAACAGGATCGTTACATATATATATGAAAAATAATTATATGTGAGGAATGTAATTTTCTATTTGAGCGCGTAGATATAGATAATTACGAGAACCTGAATTTTCGGCAGTGTTCCAAAATTCACTGCCAGTATTGAAAATCTATATAGTGCACATAAAGTAATAGATTTTCATTGCTGGCAATGAATTTTGGAAACATGTAGCCTTCCGACATGCTGCGCTAAGCGAGAAGTATACCAATCGCACTTCGAGCTGTGCGAAAGAACGTAAGGATCATAATCGAGTGTCTTAGGCATAGGAATTTGCACTCACCGAAGCTATTCCCGCTTTTAGATTTCAGACTCGTTGCAGCATCTATGATTCCGATCGACGAAACGACGTCAACTATGAGGATCCGCGACAACCGATACGTTCCGGCGATAATCTGTTGTTGTCATCGGTTCTTCTGAGAACAATGCGCCTCTTTATACATTTCCAACAGACAAAATTCACGATTAATTACGGAGCGATCGCGCTCCGTGTAACTCCGAACCGACGCGCCGCGAAACTGTCATGGCGGCCGATTGAGCGCGCGAAGCCAGTAGTTGAATATCGAGACGGTTTGAAATTGGAAACGATTAGAATTAGACTTTCTATGTGATTTTTAGTAGCATTCGATAATTTCAAGCCATCTCGACATTCATTCCTGTTTCTTTACTTAAAATGAGACACTGAAATAATAAAAATTGTATTGTTTTTCGATTTTCAAAAAGATTTCTAAATTAAATTTTTACATATAATTCACCCTACATTACTCGATCACGTAGTTTTTTTTTTTAAGTAATATACTTGCGTGAATTATTTCTGACACCCCAACATTATACAGTCTTGACCAAATAATCTGCATTATTTAAAGTTTTAGCTCAAAAGTTGATTTATGGCATTTGCTGTAAGTTATCCTTTGTTTCAAGAATCCTTTAAACTTTGCCGATAACCAATAGGTAACAATATACAGATAAAAGAATTTCAGATAAATGGAAAAAATAAATGCTAAATATTTTGACCATAGCTATATCTTAATTTTCATTGTTCCCTTTAATGATTTAATAAAAATTGATAATATGTATTCTACTCTCTAAAACTTCGAAGTAAAATCTCATTTTTAAAGATTGAAAATTAAATTTTTTTTCAATACTGACTCAATTTTTCACTTCTTATAGTGAGATTCCACTTCAAAGAATTTAAAAAGTATACATTCTTTAGATAAAGATAAATGTAATTTTTTTTATTATACAATTTGCGTTAGATATAATAATGTGTGTAAATAGCATTTACATTTCTCGAATTTGACTGACAATGAGATATTCTCAACACCCCACGTAAATAATAAAAGATTAATAAAATGTTAATTAAATTTGTTAAAATATCATTATATCAACTATAGGAAATATAAGCAAGACCAGAGAGAAACCTTCTCTGACAAGACTATTAAAATAAATTTGTTTCGCTAATTTTTTTATTATAACAACTTGGTTTCTTTCGTACAAAAAAGGAACGTTTCCAAAACGTTTACAACAACTTTTCACCTCTCAAGCGCATACGTTTCTTTGCAGTTTCATTTAATAAATAATATGTGTTCTGTGTTCTACATTCTTTCTAATTCGTTCTCTCACGCACTTAAAATGCGTATGTTTATTTCCTTAAAATAATGTACACGCCTCTCGCGCGCATCGACTGACAATCGATACTATCTTTTAAATATTTCGTTTAATCACGAAACTGATATACAATACAAATATATCCTAACGTAATGTCACAATGCTTAAACAATTATAATTAATCGAAACGCGTTGCATCACAATTCTGCTTTCAGGGTGAATATTGCGAATAATACAATATATTCGTGGATAGTAGATAAGAATTTAGAATTAAATTAGAACCTGCTAATAGAACATTTCTATGCCAACTCGCATAACATTGCGCTCTATGATAACGGCGACGACAGGTGAATGTTATTCATTTATTCCCGGTTATTGTAACCGCTTCTTGAGTCTATGCGCAATAGCTGAGACGAGTGCGGCGCCTTTACCACTTCCATCTTCCGCATGGATTAATTTGAACTGCAATCAAAATAAATACATTGTATAATAAACATTATACAAAGAAAACTTTCATAGGTGATAGATAATGTTAAGTTTGAGAAGAGTCCAAATAGGGAGTGAAAAAGTTATTTTCTATTTCTACAAAAAGAAAATAAAAGAGTATGTTGAATTATTAATGTTAGAAACAGTACATTTAGAACTTTAATTTTTAACTCGTCTGCGATCTGAATCTTTTTTGATATAAGCAAAATTTTACACTCAAAATAGAAAGACAAAATAAAGTTTCCTTATTGCTAAGTTTTTTTAATAAATTTCCTTATTGCTAACATTTTTTAATAAATTTCTATTTTTTCATCATTTTCCTCGAATTACAATTTTTATTAAATAACGGTTTTAACATTTGAGATAAAAAATCCAAATTGCAGACGGAAGGGTAAAAATTGCAGAGGGTTAAAAACAGAACTTTATACATTATACTTCTCACGATAAAATGCACATTTCCAAGATTTTCTTTTAATACTTATTTAAACACGCACTTTTTTCTGAACAAAGAAGCGGTTTTATGACTTACAATAAATTGATATTTATTTCCGTACTTATACCTTTCGTCCTGGAGTACAAAGAAGCGAAATATACTGCTTCATCCAACCTTCTAATCGAGGATGATGCTTATAGAGAGACCCGTCTACGGCAATTGTTACTTGTTCTTTATCGATGCGATCTAACAAGCTCGCAAGACCTTGAACAGAAATCATCGATGAGATAATATATTAAATCTTTGCTTCACAGGCGCCGTTTAAAACTTTATTGACATACATATCGATACTAAAAGAGCTGCGCGGTTAGAGGCGACCTCGCACACATATTGAACTATTCTGATGTCATCCTCGTCCGGAATGATGCCGAATTTTTCGAGAATTTCCTTTGTGTTACTGTCGCCACCATCTAACGAATCTCTGAAATTGCGAAATTAAAAATAAACATCTGTGAATTTTTTATTATCAGATTAATGCCCGTTTCCACATAGAAAGAACGATTTTGCTGAAAGATATAAAATTTTGAATACCGATCTGAAAATAATTTTGTTGGACCATCAAAATCATTATATTGGAAACTAAAAAACCAATAATAATTTTGCAAAACTTTTTATATTCTAACAACCAGTTTGAATTTTCAACGAAATTATTTTGATGATCCAACAAAACTTAGTATTTTAAAATTGATATCCAGCAAAATTTTAGATCTTTTAGCAAAATCGTTTTTCTTTTCATACATTAATATAGATTAATTTTAATCTCGGTTTAACTTACTCTTCATTTTTTTCTAGTTCTAAAAATTTAAATGAGAAGATACAAAAATTCTTAAAATTAGAAAATGATAAAAAGTAAATTGAATCGAGATTAAAATTAAGCTGTATTGATGAAAATTAATACAAGAGTGAACTTACTGCTCGATGTGCGACACCAAATCGGTAGTAAGATTACCAGTTGTTAGGAGGCTGTCGGATGTAGAATCTCCTACAAACAAAAGCCTCTGTTTGGTCAACTTCGCAAGTATCACACGCACCACCTCACCGAGATATTTGCCAGCAATGTATTTTTCAAATCTAAGAAGAAGAAAAAAGTCACAATAATGTACAAGGATTTTTTTGATACGAATTCTCGCGTCCTAATTAAATTTAGCCATCAAAAATTTCTGCATGGACTTATCTGAGCACCTTCAAAAATTCTTGAGTTATATCATACATATAATTCAATAAATAAAAAATATCCACTTAATTATTCGTCCACGCGCTTATCATTTCTTATTTAATAGATAAAAACATTAATTATATCAATTATTAGTTAATTAATTTTGATATCTAAAACATTAATTTTTTCGTGCAGATAGAGACAAATTGATAAAAATGCAATTTTATTGGAAATGATATCCACTTAATTCTGCAAACAGAATAATTATAATCCAATTAAAGATAATGCAAATTTGTTCACTTACGTAAATGAATTTACGATAAGAGAATTTGCGTCGTTCTCGCGATCAAAATCTGTTTTTATGAAGTCCAAGACGCCGTTATCGCCAAAAGCTCCCCACTCGATATCAATGATAACCTGGAACAACGAAAATTCGATCAATAACTTGATAAATGCTTCTATGTCAAGTGTACAGAGAAAGAAAAAAAGGAGAGAAAATTAATTATTGTATAATATAATACAAAAAAAATTATTAAATATAAAAATGATTTTAAATTATAAAATCAAATTTTATGGCATGCTTTTTAAAGTATCTTTATTTTAAATGTATTCAAAGAACGCGCTAGAAGCAAAGATTAGTCTGAAAAAAAATGCATCTATCTTTTTTTATATCATACGTTATCATGATTATCAAAAACTCACTTCGCTTTCGCCGTGTCTCTCCGTCTCCCAATGCTCGACCCGATCCGCGCGTTCCAGATAACAGGCATTGCTGCCAGTTCCCAGAACAAGTCCGATCGCCGTGTTATGATCCAACGTCGATCCCTGAACCAACGTACCTGTAGTGTCGTTTAATACGGCCAAAACCTTCACCTTTGTATCGCCTCGTCGATCTAAAGCTTCCCGTAGAAGCCTCACGGCATCCTTGTTTACAGCATCGGGACAATTGAAAGTCTTGGTCCATGTAACCAGAACACCGACATCCAGCGAGTGTTGAATCATCGGGAACGAGAAGGTAAAGCCTGGACAAACACGGTCAAGGTTGGAAAGTGGAAGAACATGCGGAAATTATCAGACAAACGTAGATAATTATGTTAATAAAGACGGTTACGGGCAGAACATTTTAACGAGTTTTTTGTTACAACAAGTCATCCACTTTCGATATTAATCCTCATAAGTTGACTGAAACACAAAATCTGGAAACTTTGCGTCCAATTAACAACGAATTACGAACATTTGGACTATCGGAAAAATTGTAATAAAAGACGAATTTCTTTGGATATTATTCGAAACTCTTTGGACTAACATCAATATAAGAAAAAGGAAAAACAATTTTAGTTAACGAGCGTTCTTGCGTAATAATTAGACATGTTAGGAGATGAATAAACTTAAATTAGTCGTACGTTTGCGTATTAAAAAAAAATTTTTACGAATTTCTTATATACTGAAGATGGCCTAATTTAAAGCCAAAAAGTCTATGTAATATTTTTGTAATTCGATTATATGTTTTGAAGTCAAATATAAACTAATCGCTAAGAATATCATGCGTTCGTGGTGTAAGTCCTTTATCTTTCCGTTTTAAAGACGGTTACATTAATATATCTTTCAACCAATTTCCTGCAGTAAACAAAAGTGTTTTCTGCGATATATTTTGTCGCGAGATTGTGTATTTGTACACAATGTTGTGTAACAATTCCTGTTAATTAAAGATTTCACACGTTCAATATCCTGACGTGTGCCGTATGCGGAACTCAATTTACCGAGAGGAAGCTCCACGTTCTGAAGACCCTGGGAAATGACGAAATCACTGACACACTCGGCCAAATAGTCAAACAGAGGGATTGCCGAGCCAACCCTTAATTCGGATCCGATGTAATATTGCTTCACCTCTTGTCGTATGGGAGCACCATGAGCCAATTCCAATAAAAGCACGCGAAAGTTAGTACCACCAAGGTCGAGTGCCAAGTAAAGACCTTCTTCTGCAAATATTCGAGCACACATTTTGACTGTCAGTATTAAATCGCGATAGAATAATTCTTTTTTTTAATTTTTAAGTCATTCTTTCAATCCTTAACTGTCTAACTGTATAATTTAACATTTTTTATTCGAAATAACTTTATTATAAAATTGTAAAGTATATATTTTTTTTCACAGAATGATTTTGCATAAATGAACATATAATATTTTAACCACATTGCCATTATCTCTCTTATATCACATAAAAAATTACAGATCGTGGAATACAGTAGACTTAATTCGGTAAACAAATTAAGGATTGATTGATAATTATTAATATAAAACTTCGATTGCGTGTTTTACTGTCGACAAAGTCTTAATTCAAGATAATTAATCAATTTCGTTTTTTCATTTAATCTTTGCTAAAAATAGTAAAGTTTATAATAGAACATAAAGTGCTTGTCAAAGTGATATCGTTATTGTTAAGCGCTTCATTAATAACCTGTTCCATTAAGTAGCTCTGGTATATAGGTGTTTTCCATCTGTAATGAAGACGGTTGCTGATGGATTCCTTTATTCATTTCCGAAATAAAAACATCTTGTATCTTCCTGGCAGTCACTGCGGAAAGTCGCATTTTCGCCACGCAATTCTCGATCTGCAAACAATTTTTCCCCTTTGAACAATGTGTTGCGTATGGTGTGTAGTATGTCCATGTCAACATATTTTTATGACATCATCTTCACTATGAAAAGAAAAATTTTCCTTGATCCATAAATTCTGCCGATATCTTGGCGAGAAGGTATACCGCGGAGCTATATCATGTGCACATATTGTTTACACATTGCGTTATGTATTACGCAGTTTCTAACAGGATTCTAATTGTACAATCTGCAGAGTAATCATGCACGTGCAGCATATAAAGTAGCATATTCTCAATTAATTACATCAAACATAACATACGAGGTTTATATACATACATTCCAACAATTATTTATCATTGTTTAAAAATTTTTTCCTGATAAGATTAATTAATTACTATCTTTTAATTACGTGTCATATAAAAATAACACATTTATTATTATGCATGAGTATAAGAAACTAGTTTAATAAATTTGCATGAAATATATATGTCTTTCTTATGAATTAATAAATTTTTCATAAGAAAAGAATTCTGTATAGAGCACGCATTCTTGCAACGTTCCGCTATGTTTATTAAAACAAACCAATATAATAAATCAGAAATACTAAACTTAATTTAATATTTATACACTTAACAACATTTATAAAAGTAGTTTGTAAATATTTTTACAGAATTTTTGCATTTAACATCGCGTTATTAAAAAAAGCTGCTATGTATATATTTAAAATTTATTTTGCAAAATAAAGGTAAATTTAATACAATCTACGATACTCGCTTTGACTTTATTTTTGTATTAGCAGGATATAAGTATTACTATTTTTGTGCATAAATATAAGTATTATGCAACCGCAAATTTGAAAAATACGTCAAGAATGTGTCACGATCAAAGATCAATTTTCATCTCTGATTTAATAGGAATTGCTAAAGAGGAGACGATGTTATCTGTAAATTGATAAACTACTGGTCTTGACTATAACGTCTTGAACTTTTAATAACGGGATTTCGTTTCGATAACCCTATAACTTAGAGAGATAAGTGTCGTGTGATAGAAACCAGAATAACCCCGAAATTCGACTTGATCTACTTCTATTTGGACTGCGTTTTGTGAGGCAAGACACGCATGATTATAATATAAATTAAGCAAGATTAAATAATCTCAATTTTTTATTGACTAAACATAATAAAGTTAATGGACTTCCTATATCGTACGTATCAAATTTTGAATACAATATGATTATAGAAATCTCGTTAAAAGAAAAATAAAGCAAAGACACAATCAATAATTTTCTAAATTTACTAAATTTTGAATATTGTTTAAAACATATTATATTTATGAAAGTAATATCTATTAATATTTTTCTGCATAAATATTATATAATTTTACAATCTAAATATCGGTAATAAGAGCGTTCTAAATTTTCTTTTTGTTCGTAAGGTTGCTTTATATTTGTAATATTTCTAAGAAGAAAAATTTTATTGGTCAAATACTTCTATAGTTTATGTCTGATGTTTATGGTATCTTATCGTACATGTGATATGATTAACATAATTAAAAGGAAGAAAAAATCTCTAGATAATCGGCTCATGTCACTAAACTCTTAATTAAAATATCGCGTGATTAATGCCACTACATCATTTAATTTGCTTCTTATGCATATTCAGGGTAATGTGTCTGGCTCTTATGTATATTTTGATATTGATACTGTATATTATTTCTTTTGTATATTCTGGATTGATTATTCTGGATTGTGTAAATTAAAATACAGTCTTTGACCCCATTAAAAAAAATATAATTTATTTTCGATTAGATTATTTTTTAGCTCATGTATTATTATTTGTGAATTAAACTCATAAATCTGTCATTAAGTAAAAGAAATCTGTCTGCTAAGTATTATTTATGCGTTAGATATTCTTTGAGGATGTTTTATACATATTTTCAAAATGATAACAAAATTATGAAAAAAATACAGATTATTCTAAATCACACTTAAAAATAATACACCATATTTGGTGACGGTTTACTATCTGGATCATAAGTTATTTTAATAATATAGTAGTATTTTTTAAATATCTATGTTCTAATAAAAATGTATGGAAATGTATTATATAAAATAAATGACAAAAATCTCAGTTTTTTAATATAAATAAATAATGTATTCAAGATTATTTATATATAGAGTTACATTGCAATGCATAAACTAGTTGCCCAGTAAATAAACAAAATATTTATTTGTTCTATATCTTTGTAATTAATCAGTGAATCGCAACGAAACTTTGCATAAATTACTTAATTTGAATATTTAAAGAACTTATACAAAAAAATTTAGATTTTTATTATTTTTTAAATTTTAATTTTTAACAATAAAAATAATAACAAATAAAATACTGTAAATAAACAAGAAAAATATGTTATTAAATAAAAATGTAATCTTATTCACACAACTTTCATATGCATAGTTTATTTGAAGTGTAAGTATTAAACACATTTCCAAATTTAATTTTCTTTGCAGGAACTGTACTTGTGATACATCCTTAAGGAAAAAGGAACGTTAATTTTATTTAGAAACGCGGATAAAATAGTTGAATTAATAACATATCTGATATATACACTGCACATTACTTTTTTCACGAATGTTTTTTTAATTCTTGCATCAATTCTTACCATTTCCATAAAAAATTGTAATGAACATGTCGTTTGTCTCGTTTCACATATTCTTATCAGGTTTCGATATAATATCAGCCTTCAACTTCATCGTATGATCAGTTTAAGAGAGCAGAAGTTCATGGAATTAAGTACTGAAGATAAGATATAATAATGTCTATGTGACACGAATGTTACGCATGAAATATGAACTATACAGTTCAAGTATATATACTCACTTTTTGACGCCTAACATCGTCAGAAAGTATCAACGGCGACACTTGAATCGCTTCGTGAAGAGCATGTTCCGCAGGAACAACCATGTCGAAACGTTATTAAATCTCTAAAAAAAAAAGAAAAACATTGATATCTGATCTAGTTTGAAGCAGCAGCAAAGTAAAAGTTTCATTGAAAGTAATCTTTTAATTAAATGACCGCATTCATAGAAAATTGTTTGATTCCCTCGATTAATAATCTTTATTATCTATTTAAATTAAGAAAAGCCTAATTAAAAAATTAATGTAAAATACAGAGGCATATATAATAGAAAGTCTCTATATGACAAAAAATGTTAAAAATATAATATAATTTTATCGCCATTGTTGTAAAATTATGACATATCGCATAAGATTATAAGTTGTAAATAATGTATAAGTTCCCGTAATATCGTTCAAAATGAAATATCATTGCAGATATTGCTTAGACATAACATCTACTAAATCAGTATCGCTATTACTACTACAAATTAATTTACAATAAACATTCTTGAGTCTACCGCAAATACTATTTTATATATCAGCAAGGCCAAAAGACGATCAATTTTATCGTTATATGTGACGAACGCTCGCATAACAAAAATTTATATAATATAATAATACTTTTTATCTAAATCGATATTAAAAATTAAGCCGTTTATCGTAATAATTTATAAATTTTACTAATGTGCAATTTTCAAAATTATTTAATTTAATAAAGATGTATAATATGTAATTAATTATATTTATTAATTTTATTCATAACTTGGCAAATTATGAAAGATATGACTGAAGCATGTGATTTCTGATAACATAGTTTACTTTACTCATAAATTCTACGTCATTTAAGATAGAGTTTTCCGCTGTAAATGTATCATTGCACATCACTATAAATCAATTAACGTTCTGGATTAATGGGAAACCAAAAAGTGGAACGCGCATTGCATCAGCGATTGTGCACGGAAAAGTACTTAATTAGCTAAATGTTCCGTAAATTCCATCACTCACTTTTAAGCACATATTGTGAATTTACAAAATAATGAGGTAACAACAAATCACCACACTCTTATCTGGGATATATGAAGATATCGAAAACGCAATAAAAATAAAGAAAAAAAAGGCGCTTGTTAATTAAAACTTTGAGTAGCCTATTGTATATTTCTAAAAGGTATTAAATGATAAAGTACGTCAAAAATCAAGATATCGAATCGTATGTGTAGATATTTCTCTGTTAGAATAGTCTGGCTTATGAACGATACCGCGATAACGATTACAATCGGGCTCGATCATTCATTGGAATGGATATAATTACGAGAGTTTGAATATCAATTTATCGTGTATATATATTGTCAATGCTAGCAGCATGAAGCTATGTACATTACGTGTATGTATAACAACGTTATCAACAATCATTTATACGCCTATATCACAACGAGGCCATAAAAGTTGAACCAGTCGTCTTTCAAGCCCGATCAACTGGTTCAGGTAGCTTGCCTCTCACGTTACGGACCATTTTTCTTATTTCCGTGTCTCACATATACAGTTCCTGTGCATAACATACAGTTCCTCCAATTTAACTTTCAAAGTGATCCGGAGAAATTCTATATTTAAAACAGTATTTCGTTTGAGCATGTATCTGTCACAATCCGGTTGTTACATATAAAGTCGCAATATATTGACAGATTGCGACTTTTCTCTGCATTATTGGAATAATTAAAATAAAATACATGCAAAAATGGATAAGAATTATTTTATAAAATAATCTTCTATTTTTATATTTAACTTTTTATATTTAAATTTTATAAAAATTTAATATGGAGATATTATTAATTATTCAGCAACTGATGCAGGTAATAATTCACATTAACGTGGACATGCATCTTTTTGTCGACAGCAACATGATCTGGTCTTAAATCATGATGTGTAACGTTATCTGAATGAATCAGGTGGAGAAGAGACTGCAAAAAGCTGCAGAGAATATTCTTTCCGAGCTGCAAGCCGGTAGCGAATGAGGCTCCATTGAAATCAATTGGAAGGTGCAAAACGTCAACCAAGATAATTCAGCCAGTTGACCCGTCGTAATGATTCTAATCCAGAGTGCAACACGCACACTCGTCGTTACTTCCTTGTACCAAGCACGGCATTTCACTGTCTTTCTCAGGCTCTGTGATGGACAGAAAACTTTCAACTGATGCGATTCGCGACAAGGCGCCGTTTCCTGACAACATCAACTATCTATTCTTCATTTATCACACTCTGCACTGATCAGCGCGTCAACGATTAAAGAATCTGACGTAAGCATAATGTTAAAGATGATAGTCTAACGCCGCGAGAATAATGGAGTTGCGAGAATAAAAGATCTCGTAGAACGATTTAATCGCAACATTATTAAATATCACGTAACTTCGCAGTTATTTATCAATTTTTGCGAGAATATTTATTAATTAGCGAATTTAATGAATTAAATAATTTAATAATATATTCTATTAAACGTTAAAATAAATCTATTCAAATAAAAATTTCTTAAAAACTTTTAACATCAAATATCTTGGTAATTATCTATTTCACACAAAAATTTTAATAATATTTATGTGAAATTAATTAAATAACAAATCTCTCTTTAAAATTTCTTCAATAATGGATGCTAAATTATTTGTATTGTGTAAGTAGGTATGTGTCTTGAAATTTTTTATAAAATGTATTAATTTTCAACAAGAATATTGCTACACATAACAAACATGTCTATGCAGGACATTCTATATTTTTTCAAGTGACACGTTATATATACTATTCAAGTGTAAATATTGTATTACGTTACATTCATAGTACGAGTTCTCTATATTTTACCATTATAATTATTTTACCATTATAAAATATTATAAAGTAGAGTTAATTAAAAAGCAAAGAAGCAAATTATTAATCTCTTAATATTAATATCGGAATTATATATAAACGTAACAAATTTTTATGTTTTTATTTACAACATTCGTTGTTCCAACTAGAATTTCATTGTATATTTGATATTAGAAGATAGAACAAAAGCAGGAAGTGCAGCATGATTTATCTTTGTTACGGTAACAATGTATGTACTTTAATTTAGCCAATGTTGTACAACTCTTGAAGATTAGGTTTGGCGTCAAGTGCACTCTAGTTATCTAATCGAGTCCTTTTTTCTGAAGAGTACAGTTCATAAATATTTTACCTGTCGTTTAAATAATAAAAGTTCCATAATTCATATTAACAGCAAAGGCACCGAATAAGATCAAGATACCCAGTAAGATCAAGATGCGTGGGAATCAAACCGAGAAATATAAATAAGTATAATAAACGGTAATAAATATTTTTAGATTCTGTTTTCGAATATGTCTGTTACGTACGAAAGATTTATAAACAAATCAGTCTTGCACGAATAATTTTCAACAACTAAAGTAAAAAAGGTAGAAACATTTGTTAATTAAGGAAGTTAGTAATTTGGAAAAATATCAAAATAACTTCAACAAATTTTAGCCGCTGCAGAGTTAGTGAGATTGTAAATAGAACGTGTTTTAAAAGAAATACGTGTATAAAAATAACACGACAACTGAGACGACAAACTCTTCATTCCTGGAACGCGATAGATAAAAGACAAAGTTGCGTAAATGTGACATTGGGTGTGTGATAACGTTTTGTCAAATAGACGAGATGCAGTGGACATCACGTAAATTGACGTAGAATGATTTTTATAACAATGTCAATTTATTTGTAATTGCCGCCTTGATAATATTTTACTACGAAAACTACGTAAAAGAATGCGTGCGCAATTCGATATTATCTAGTATTTAATAAAGACGATCGAAATCTCATCGCTAAACTTAATTACATGATGTTATTTATTTCGAAACTCATACGCCGAATAAACATGATGATAAAGTGACGACTGGATTTTATTTTTGATCAAGAATCAAAGACCTCGCATATCTCGTGCAGACACGACGATTACGCTATCATATCGAAATTTTAACACTCGTCAAATTTGCGTAAGTTCGTTACTTTGCGCAAAAGTACATAGATTTGTTTGCATAACTCAAATATGCGCGTATTGTTTATATTAGAAGATATACAATTTTCTTTATACAACATGTAACGAATTCATCGAGAGATGCCCCCATATCATCTTAATAAAATTTTGAGTTGAGCAATCGAAATTCTTGTAAAAAACAAATATTAGCAATTTTGATTAGCGAAATTATATTAAAATTGCAAAAAGATCATATACTCAAAAAAGTAATCTAGCAGTTACAGCGAAAATTATCTAAGTACGAAAAATAGCTGAAATAGATAAATTTTTAGCAAGTACTGCGATATTGGATATGTATTGCATCTAATGATATAGATGACAGAGATAGAATTTAGATTTGTGCTATAAATTCTATTATGTATGATAACATAATTTGTATGATACATAATTTTTTATCAGATACAAAAAAACAGCTATAACTCTAGCTGGAGCAGCAAAATATTTTTTGGCGTGTATGATTATATAAAATGATGATCAGTATAATTCAGTATAATTCAACATATTAAGTGATACATCGAAAGAGAAAATAGGAATTAGATATTTTTAATATAACATTAATCCTTCTCGTAAAGAATCCAAATTTTAAATATAGTTATATCTAAAAAATAATTATCTTCGACTTATTATTAGACTTTGTAGAAAGTTTTATAATCGCTTTTAAATTTGCTTATCATAAACACACTATTCTAATCCAAATGATATCGACAAAGAAATATTTAATTATCGGTCTGTAAGGCCGATAATCTTTAGTCCGCAATCTAGAGTGTGGTCCTCAAAGTGTATTTACCGATTATTATTACGATAATGTCCGGTTCCGATTGCACAATATAAGGACCGTGAAAGACGGAAACTGAATACGTATCGGAAAATTCTGTCGCACGGCTGAATGATGTGGTGAAACGTTTCAACGAACATCACGTGTTACGACTGGTGTAACAACCGGCGAGAGCACATGCTACACAATATTTCAAGGACCCACGTGGTTCTCGCTGAAGAAGTAAACAGAAACAAGCCCGCGTATTGATGAGCTGATGTTTAAATCCTGAACTTCAATGTCTAAATGAACAGCAAACTGAAACTTCGATCACGGTAAATCATTAAAGAACAATTCGTGAATCTCAATGAAATATCAACACGTGACCTTAAAACCGGCACAAAAAGATACCTAACGATTTCTAATACAGTGACCGCGATTCCATTTCTATAATAACTATTTTATATATTTTCGCTGTTTATGGAGAAATGGTGTTTCTCAGTATTTAAAACAACACAATTCATTAAAATAAATGTAGGTTACGTTTATTTTAAGATTCAAATTACTAGTTACAACGTCAAGAATTTAAAAGTGTTTCGAAAGACAGGACGTCGAAATTCTAATGTTAATTACCTATAAGATACTAGATAAATATATATCGTATATACTATATAATATTAATTTCTTTCGGAGCAAAATTCCAAATCTATATGAAATCCAGTAATCAGAAAATATTAATACTGTTCTTTTTTAGAAAAAAAAATACAGATACTAAAAAAATAATTTTTTACATTAAAATTTAAGTTTAAAGGCGTAATATCTAATAATTAAAATAATTCAATCATAAGAATTTATATTTGCTTTAATATATTATATCAATGTCAATAAATTTTATGCAATTTTATACAAAACAAAATGATCGAAGATTGAATAATCGAATAATAAAAGGTTGTGAATAACCAATGAGATTCAAAAAAATAGACTAGAGATGTCACTTTGATATGCTGTGAAAGAAAAAATTTATATCTTACGAAAATATAAAAAATACTTTACAAGAACATGGCATCAAAATAAGTCTTTTATAAACATTTTATACTCAATAGCCTATACAATAAAGAAATCTTTCAAAAAAGAAATTAATATGACAAATGCCCTCGTGACAAGCCCTCGCATGATTCTTGAATATCAATAAGTAGATGGTCCAGGAAATGTGTGTATGTGTGCGTGTGTGCTTCAATCCAGTGAAACAGGAGGGCGCGTTTAGTGGTGGGACTACTGACCCAATTTTGCAGGATACGGTACCTGATTTCGCACACGTGTTTACCCCTTCCGCTGATCTCCGGATCGATCGGTGCGAGACTAACAACGCTGGTTGCTGGTCTTCGCGAGTCTGGCTCTCCGTCGTAATACACGCGTGAACGGAACAGCGAGAAGTGTATTCGCGACGGAGCCGAGCGGCGACTGGTCGTGCCTCCGACGAGCTTCCAACGTGATACGGTCGTCTGGTCTAACCCGCGATATCCACCACTACTAGCCGTGTGCGTCACGCATACGTATGTACCCCGGTAACGCGTAAACGCGTGAACGAATGAGGGGTCACGCGGGCACATATGCGAGCCTCTCTGCTCTCGTGCCTTCCTTCGTGACGTCTACGAAAACACAGAAAGTTGCAGTTGCGTTCACAAGCGCGACTCGTGAATCGAAAACATCATAAATTAATGTTATGCTGTCGAACAGGCGTATTTGTTGATAAATTTGAAACCGGATTTGGAGTCTTAACAAATATTTGGTCAAATATTATTTATCTTTCTTCATTCGCTTATTGGGCATTTGATATCTCTGACGTTAGAGAAAGCCAAACAAATTGGAATTCTCTAATCTAATGGTTGAATTTATTTATTTTTTGAAACTCTATTTGATGAGGTTTTTTTAAATTATTATATCGACAGTTATCTTTTTATTTTTTTCACAATTTATGTATGATTTTGTAATACTTTGTAATATATTCGTTAATATGTAATTGATTTCAAATTTGCTTAACGATTCAATTAACATATGTATGGTATCAATCTATTACTAATTACTTAATGATAAAGAAGCACGATAGTAAAAAAATATACATGCTTGTGGTTGACAATAATATAAAATATTAAATCTGAGCCCGCGAAAAAATGTTTTATATATAATTATATACATAATTATATATAAAATACGTCCATTTACATACAAATATATAAAATTATATAATTTTATATACTTATATATAAAATATTTTTTCCCGGGAGACTAAAGAAAATTAATTAAATCTCAAAAGTTTTTTATTACCAATATCTAATTAAAGTGCAGTAAAAGAAGAGATAAACGAGCATTTAATATTAAAAATATAAAACGATTAAATAAACCTTTAAATAGCGAAAAAATTTTGATTTCCATGAATTGAATGCTTCATTAAAAAGTTAATTTTTTTGTGGCGTTCACTTTTCGATTGCAAGAAAGAAATCGGAAAGATTCTATCTTACGATTCAATATCGCGATATTATATCAATTACAATTATTTATTGATTATCCCTTAAAAATAAAACTTTCAATCTCTTATTTTTTAGGAGATGGAAGCTTGAATCATTCCGAAATTTGAAAATTAAAAATACTTATGTATTCGCAATCTTAGATTTCGTTCGCATATTTGACGATATATTTATGATCTTACGTGGCTTATACATCTCGAGTGACAAGTCAATCCATTCATTCTGAGTTCATAAACCTACGCATCTACAGCACATACATGTGTAGATACAATACATTGATATCACATTGGACATATGGTCAAACGAATTTATGCACTATTCGACTTTTTCATTGTGACTTGTTTTATCTTCAAATCTAATTTTTTTATTGCATGCATAATCTTAAATTCAACATTATCTTGAATTTAAAAAAGTCATTTCAAACGTCAATTAAATAACAAATAAATTTATCCCACAAATGTCTGACTGGGAACATAAAAGCACAATTAAAATACACACATTCATAGATTAAAAAATCTTTGACTAAATAATATCAATAACTTTGGTTATTTAATTTTTAGCATAAAATTATAATAAATTTATTAATATAAATTCTAAATAAATAAGTAAATAATAAATCAATTGACTGGTCCTCTACCTACATATGTTCACATAATTCTGTCTTTCAATCCTCTTATATGTTTTATTTATAAATGCATGAAATAAAATTAATAGAAATATATAATGAAATACAAATTACATATGTATAATACTATAGTATATAGCGCGTAGACATAGGTATGTATATACAGAGAAGCAATGAAGTAACATCCGTCTCTGCAGACTACATAAGCTGAATGGAGTTTGATTAAAACGGTTGATGTGTGTGTTTAAATTTAGATCATTGCAATTGCCCAATCCTTCCTTCCCCTTTAGTAAAGACCAATCTTAGATCTCTGAATACATTCGATTGGATCGTATCATAGTTCGCTCGTAAGATTCGATAAAATATTAAATATAGTTAAACAATATAACGCAAATTATGTATAAATCGTTTTATTCTTTAGTTTAATATAAGTGGAATAAATATATATTAAATTTAAATATCAAAGATATAATTATTACAAATTTTTAATATAAAAAGTTTGTAAAGACGATAATTCTATAATCCTTTAGCATGCAACGTGAAGTAAAAAGATTTTGTGATCGAGAAATGGCACATGATTAATAAAAGATGTCAAACATGTTCGAAATCCATAAGACTGATCACTCGAAAGGGAGAACGTTTGATCCGCTGACTCATCTTGTTAAAATCTTCGATGTATTAATAGAGAAAAATATGTGAATACATGATATGTCATAAATTTAGACGAATAACTCTTTTATAAGCGAAACTTTATTTCAATTATCCTCGAATTGATATACACACGATACTTAACAGATATAAAATATAACAGCTATTAATATGACAAAAAATTTTGTAACATTATTAAAAAAATAATTAAACGTATAAACGTATAGCTACATGTTGTAAAAATATATCATAAACTTATTAAGAAAATTATGTATTTCTAAAAATTTTTTTAATGCAAATAAAATGAAAACGTAATTAATGTGTTCCTTTTAAAAAATTTTTTAATTTTCCAATTTTAATACCATTTTAATTATAAAATGCATGGTTTAAATATAAATGTAAAAATTACTTGTACTAGGGTAGTATAATTTACATATTTTAATGCTTCTATGATTACTTTTTTTCAGAAAATATATAAATCTATATAACATATTTATAAATATATAATATTAACGATATTATTACTCAGGCAGGAGATCATCTCCGAGTTCTTCGTCACCAAAATCATCATCTCGCTTTCCAGCTGCTGTCATAGGACGAGTAGGGAGAGGTCCTATAGGATCTGCATAACTCGAACCTATAGAAATTGTTTTTATAATTCTAATAACTTAAATAAATAAATGAATAACATATCAGACAGTATCGCATATATCATTTTCACTTTGAATATCGCACTCGAGAAAGATAAATAGGAAATAATAAGGAAACATAAGTAAGGAAATACGAAAGTGACACAAGTAATATCCATTCTCAGATTTATAACTGCGATCAGTAATATGTAATGGTCTACCGAGTGTATTAAGTGATAAAGAGAGAACAAAAATAGATCAGTCAAAGCGGCCGCAGTCATCCATCATTTATTCAATCCATTAGAGTGGATCTCGCATACCACTTGTAGATCACTTTTGCTGATGTTTGCTTTCAATGGAAACGTGAATGCTCATCATACTAAAATTATTAACTGCATAACCGCTAAATTTTCCACAAAACTCATGTAATGTTAAAATCGTATGATAAAAGATTCTACTTTCATTAAAGTTACAAAAAGTTAAAAATATATAAAGTGCAAAAATAAAACGTTTGATTTTTTGCAAAGACTTCATATTTATTTAATAAATTCTCAGAGCAAATCAGTGGAAATACCAATATATGAGAAGTGATTTAATTCCAAAAATTTTAATAATCATACCTTGATAATCATTTCGGCCTGAAATTGGTCGTCGATCCGGACTTGGTCTATGATCTGACATTACACTTAATCCTGAACCAGCTCGCGATGATGTTCCACTATTACTTTTCCTAGAACCTGCACAAAACGTACAACCAAGATTTAGTGATAACTTAAAAAAAAAAAAATAATTTATATATTATTGCACAAAATTATTGACGTAAACAATAATAACGGAAACTAATAATAATTCAAATTTATTGGCTCTCAATGTATATACCAATTGTTAATACCAATTGTTAAAAATTGTTATTCATATATTACTTTTAAACATTAAATTGTACATTAAAATACCTGTTGTGCCTGGTCTTGCTGAACCTTGTCTTTCTTTTAGTTCTTTAGCTTTCTCAGCCTTTTTTAATTCAGCCGCGTACATCTGTGCTTCTTTCAAACCCAAATCACTACATAGTCTGATCAAAAATTTTAGACATTCTATATTATCCGGAAATCTATTATGAATATCTTGATACTCTGTGAGAGCTTTATGGAATTGCCCAGTGCGTCTTAAACACGCGGCAACTAATAATCTCCATCTTGGTTCATCTGGCGCGAGCTCTACCGCTTTTTCAAAATAAGTCAATGCTTTTTCAGCAATCTTAAAAAGAGAATATAATATAATAAGAGAGAAAAATGTATATACATTTTAATTTTATTATCAAAAGCAACAAATTGTTAATAACAAAAGTTATACCTGCATTGATATAAAATAGGATCCAATCCAGTCTATCACCTCAAAATTGGCAGGATAAAATCTGTAGGACTGTAATAAATTTATAATTGATAAAGAAACTAAATATATATCACAAATACGATTACAACAACTGAAGGAGGATTTAGTTAATTAGAAGAAATAAACTCACGTCATTGTAATACTGAAATGCCTGCTGCTTATCTCCTATTGAATCATATAACTCTCCCAATTTTTGTAAAACACCTGGATCAGATGATATTATGCCTAACAACTGATTATACCTGTTTGAAGTAAGATATTTAAATTAATTCTCATGATATTCATACAAATCAGAAATTAATTACATAAAATTTTAAAAATATAGGATAATATATAATTGAATTTAAAATACCATTCAGATGCTTGGTCAATATCGCTCATCAATTGATACAGATGACCAATTTGATATAACGTTTGTGGATCATGTCGAACGATATTACGAATTTTCCAAAAACACTCTAAGGCCTCTTCATACATATTCTCTTTTTTGTAAACTAAACCTACAAATAAGAAACATGTCATCATTAACAAAATAATACATATATGCATTAATATAGTCACATATGAAATAAGTAAAGAGATGTAGGTAGTGCAAGAGAATATTAATATTGAAACGCGTATTAAGCAAGACAATTCTTACAAAATCATTACCTAAATTGTACAGAGCTTGTACATGACTAGCATCTGTCTCTAATGCACATAATAACAGCTCCCTAGCAACATTCAATTCATCTTTTCTAATTGCACAAGCGGATAAATTAACATAGGCAGCTGCATTGTAAGCATCGGCGTTACGAGCTGCTTCACCATACTTTTCAGCTTGATCATAATCTCCTTGCTAAAGAATTTTCTGCTTAGATGCAAGAAACAAGCTAATATAACTGTAGATATTTATAAATATTACTCACAAGATAGTAGATGAATGAAAGCATAGTTGCTGCCCCACTATTGGCTTTGGTGTCACGATTTTCAAACATTTTTAATGTATCTATAGCTAGTTGTGTTTCTCGATTATGCAAAAATACCATGGCTTTGTTTATTTCTAAATCAGCAGCTAAAACACTATACGCCGAGGACTTTATGGCATCAACACACCTACAAATAATTGCGCAAATTTTTATTAAGAAACTAGAGACTAAATGTAATCATAATTTTTTAAAGTATACCAGGCAAATCCAGCCGTAAGTGATTCTTCAATAACAGGCGCTATAAGCTTTGCCGCGCAAAGTATAGTTTTTTCAGCTTCCAATTTCATTTCTTTTTCCAATTTTGATAAATCATCATTCTTTATAACTTCATTTAATATGTTAGATTCAACATCATCCTATATATAAATAAGAAGATATAAGTCACACGATAGTATAGCTTAATGTTTCATTCATGATTTATACATGTGAATGAAAAATTATATCTGAATAAATACTCATATATAATAATCATTATTTTATACATAAACAACATTTGACAGAAATAAAAAAAAGATGAGAAGTTTGTGTGAGTGTGGAATACATGATGAAAAGAGACAATTGCTATAAATATGTCACTATGTGCATCTTTGTGAATCATAAGACACATATTGTGACATGTAGCGGTGCAAGTGTTGGCAACTCTTTGAAAGGTATACGGCTTTAATAAAAACGCAGTATAATGGTGCCAAACTCACGGGATTTATGCTATACTTGTCCTCCTGATCTACATTAAGTTGTACTTCTAGTAATTCTAAGAAAGCTCTTTTCATCTTATCACGATGAGATAACGCGAAATGACATAAAACAGCATGCAAACCCGCATTAAACTCAGATCTCTCCCTCATCACCCATTCAAAACTATTAGCTGCCTCTTCTAATCGACCCATTTGCACAAATAACATTCCCATGTTATGCATAATCTTTATTCTGCGAAATATTTGCCAAATTAATGATATCATTAGCAATGAAATAATCTTCCTTCAACAGTTCCTCGATCGTATAAATTGATGAGTATATTCATTGATAATTATATTCACCTTAAATCTTTGTGGGCTGTCGGAGCTTGATCAAATGCCATTCTGTACATTTTTATAGCTTGAGATAGTTGTCCCATTTTTACATAAATGTTACCCATATTAACTTTGAGTCGGGCGCTATTACTAAACATCCTGTTCCTTGTTATAGCTTGATAAGTTGCTATAGCTTCTGTATACATTTCATTATTTGTGTATTGAATCGCTAAGTTGAATAGCACCTGCGAAGATAGATTAACGATATATTCAATCTCAGCCGTAATATAATTATAATTATACAATTTTGTAATTATAATTTTATTAATTTTAGTACATGTTAGTATATGTTCACATTCTGATCAATCATCTTAATATTTTACATCGTATATATAAATGTATAAATGTATATCTATATATGGCTAAAAAAATTGGAGCAAAATTACAATTTAATCCATTACTATAAAGAAATAACATAATATAAGAATTTATAATGATTTAATGAGCTTACGGCAAATGTTAAGTCTATATTGTGATTATCACTAAGACCAGCTTGTTCCTGCAATCGTATAAGGGCCCTTTCTCTTGAAGAAGCTTCACGCGCTCGTTCTAAGGCAATTTTTATATTATTTTCTGAGGCTGCCTGTGCAGAAGTTTCAATCAAACCCATTATTTTTCTTTCAGTTGTTTTTATCTTCTCTTCCGGTCTTTAATAGAAAGAAATCATTGAAATTTATTTTAATAATGCTTTTAATGCTACATATATATGTATATAAATATATATGTGTATATATATATATAATATATATGTATACATATGTGCAATGAAAATATAAATCTAAATCTTACGTGTCTTCTTTGTTAGTTTCCAATGCAGGCGCAGGACCTTTGGAACTAGTCCCCATATTAAGAGGATCAAAAGCTTGTTGACTGCTTGTATATCCGGCACTCCTCACCGCTGTCATAGGTCTAAGTCCACTAGTCATAGGTTGCATTGATGTAGTAGTACCACTTCTTTGAAACTAGGAAAATAAAAGCACAAGATTAAGGATTCTTGAAATATGTCAAAACCAAATGTATGATATCAAAATTATAAAACTATAATAAGATATATAAACTATTATGTATGTTGCATTGATGGTTAATAACAGATTCTTTATCTAATATGAAATTTATTTTTTTAAATCTTTATATTATAAATCTTACAAGAAAAAGACTAAATTCAAATACTATTCAAAATGATTTAAAATCATAAATATGATGATCATAAAAAAAGACGTTGACATCTATTTGCACTCATAAAAATCTATATCATGAAATATCCTTTATTATTAAGAAAAAAATTATTCTAAATTAGTCATAAAAACTGCAATTAAATTGTTTATGATAGGATACCCCTTAATCTATTACATGTAGCTATGTATAAACTTCATACAACTTACTCGACTTGACGTTCCAAGACGCATTGCAGTGCCTGGTGTCTTGGGAGTGAACTATCAAATATCAAATAAAATATATGTACAGCAAGAAAAGAAGTAGATGTTTAATTAGCAATAATTACAATTTAGTAATATTGTGTAATGCAATATAAAATGGAGTTTTAGCGACACTAGAAATATTATAATTAATTGTGTTTACTCACTATTGATCTTTTTCCATAACTTGTCCTGACAACTTCCTGAAATAATTCATCCTGCTCGAGATCTTTAATATTGTACACCGCTGGGTAATCATTATAACCAGCATAAATATCATCCTCCACTTCTGTGGCAGACATGATCAACAGTTTTACGGTATTCCGTATAATTGTACCTTTTCTTATAAGCACAATACACGTATAATCATACGTTAAATAATCGATTTATACACTCTGACATATATTTCCGAATAATTTAAATTGGATGATTAAAATTAAACAAAAAACTGTTTTTGGGAAGTGTACTCCGAATTACACAGCACAAAGCATAGGAACGACAGCTAACAGCTGATCGTATAAGAATCATGAGATACAAATGTAATATTAGAGAAAAACCTGAGAGAGAGGACATGAGGGCCTCTTTCTTGTAACTACAAAATGCCTCGCGCACTACTGCCCTCTGAAGAAGTGGATGTAAACTACACAACAATATCCATTTTTTTACGATGCTCCTGATGGAAATAAATCTCTATTGATCTCTAATCTTCTCGTTAAAATCTCTATTAATTTGATAGATTTTAATTAAGCCCAAGACACAATACGAGGGAATAGCGATAGCGATAGGAATAACATGATTTCAACCTATCAGAAATCGGATATATCGGAATACGCAGTTTCTGATAGGTTGAAATCGTGTTATTCCTATCGCTATCGCTATTCCCTCGCATTGTGTCTCGGGCTTTATTTAAGCGATTTCAGTAATTTATTTCCATCAGGAGCAGCGCAAAAAAACGGATATTGTTGTGTAGTTTACATCCACTTTTTCAGAGGGCAGTAGTGAGCGGAGGCATTTTGCGGTTAAGCTGGAAACACAATAGACACTGGCAATAGGCACTTGAAATAGGCAACAGGGAATAACGAGCCGTCCAATCAGAGCTCAGGGATTTAAGTTCGATATTATATCCCAGATATTATCTGTACCTATTGTGTTTAAAGCCGGGAGCACATAGAAAAACGTAAGGCCGTAAGACGTAAGCGGATTGGCCAATCACAGTAGAGACCGTAAGGCCGGTAGCGAATCCAATGTTACGACTTCCTTACTGATTACGGCCTTATGTTTTTCTATGTGCTCCCGGCTTTAGGCTTTACAGAAAAAGGGCCTCGGCCTCAACCAGAGTGAAACTGAGAGCGACCATCTCGACCTTTTTCGTGTGACGCTTGGAAGTTTTCGTACATATTAGCGATACCACCGTGATACCAACATCAATTTTAGAAAGTGATGCGAACTTTGACAAACGGCAAAAGGTAAAAAGTAGCTTTTTTACATAATTGTTCACGTAAACTGTTTTTGACATCCCGACACATCTTATATTTCAATTTTTATTACTCTCTTTGATGATTTACAATTAAATAAAGATTAATAATAAGATTAATTTCTCTCTCTTTAAATAAATAAAGATAAATGCATTTTTTTAAATTATAACAATTTGGACTAAGTAAAACAATGTGTATAAATAATATTTATTTATATACGTTTAGAAAAATATAATTTACCTATCACACTTTTCTTTAATTAAGAATGCGGAAACAGAATTAAAAGTAACAAAAAGCCCCAATGCGTCAATCTTTTGTTAAAAGTATTGCATACATTGCGCGGATTTCGTGTAACAAAAAATTATTATAAACTATAATAACCGCTTATTGTAACACAATTTGAAATATACAGACGAATTGTGTTCGTAACGAATATAAGAAGTAAAGTAAAAACCGTGCAATAAAGTCTATTTATCGGAGAATAATAAAAATGTAACGAATAGATTATTTTATTTATTTCGTAGTATATATGAGTAATATATGCGTTAATATTTCGATAGTTAGACGGTTGGCGCGCGTTTCCTTGGAAACTGTTTGGACGTGGAGGGGCGGGTGGCGCGGTGCGGCGCGTCACGTTAATGCGTAGTCACTGCGCAGTCATTCCCTTACCGAGGATCGTACAGGCAGGTAGCTACGCCGCTCTTCTTTACATTTTTTTTGGAAACATACTTGCGACAAATAATATAAAACGTCGTACTCTATTTCAATAACTTACTTAAAATATTAAATAAGAAATAATATTTTAAAATAATAAATACTGAACAACTACTTTATCTTTTTTAACTTAAAATACATATTTTAAATAAAATTTTTAATACGACTGACTGATACGACTTATTTAAAAAAAAACATATAAAATAAGTTCCGAAATCTTATTTAAAAATAATAAATTCTATTTAACTCTTCTATCTTTTTATTAAAAATATATGTTTTAAATAACTTTATTTTTTAAATACGATTGAGCCTTGTATGTTAGTATGGTGTTAATTGGATTCTACATTAAACAAAGTAAAATCCAATTAGTATTTCGTCGCGTAATTAATGAAATAATTTCTTATACATATATCGATTTTCTCAGAACTCAGCAGTTTAGTTTTAGCGGCACGAGTCGTTTAATGTGATACCGCAATGGTGTAATTACATCGTGGTACAACGAAAAAAACATATTTAACATTTTTTAATAATTTTAAATATTTCATATCAACTAATGTGCGGACAAAAAGCAAGACGTAACATGCGATTTTCTTTACATAATTGTTCACGTGAAGTATTTTTGACATTCCAACATTATATCTCAATTTTTATTACTCTTTTCGATTTACAATGAAATAAAGATTAATAATAAATTATACATCCCTTAAATAAAGATAAATACGAACAACTTTTCAAATCATATAACAATTTAGACTAAATAAAATAATGTGTATAAATAGCAATTATATACATTTAGATATATATAATTTAAATATAATTGATCTATTATACACTTCCCAGAATAAGAATGCGAAATAAGACATGAATGACAGAATTAAACGATTCAAAAGTAACAAAAAGCTACAATATATGTTAATCTTTTGTTAACAGTATTGCGTACATTGCGCAAATTTCGTGTAACAAAAAGTTACAAATTAATAATCGCTTATGTAACACAATTTGAATATCTAAGATATAGATAAGTTGTGTGCATAACGAATCAAGAAATAAAGCAAAAACCGTGCAATAAAGCATATTTATTGGAGAATATTAAAAACGTAACGAATAGATTATTTTACTTATTTTGCAATATGCATTAATATTTCGACGGTTAGGTGATCGGCGCGCGACCTTGCAGGGGTTTGCTTAACGTGGTCGGACGGGTGGGATGACGGCGCGTCATATTTTTTACACGCAGTAACCGCGCAGTCATTCCATTACCGAGGCTCGCACAGGCAGATAACAGTGTCGCATGCCGCTTTTCTTTACATTTCTTTTTGAAACGTTATCGCAAAGAATGTGCTAAATATAATATGAAACATTGTATTTTATGAATACGTAATATACGATTACTAACTTGCACGATTAATTACTCATAAAAGGATCGAGATGATAATCATGTATCATGGAATAGATATTTCGTACGGTTCATTTATTTGGAAGCAAAACACGATGGAAGACAAAATTTATTAGTATTTCATTACTGACGACAATTATTTTTGTTTAACGTAAAATTTTACTCTCGCTTGAGTAATAACTCTCGATTATACTTAGGTATCACACGAGTCATAAAAAAGCAACGTTGATAAATACTTTTATGCAAATAACGCAATTCATACTTTCTACTTTCACAATTAATATAGTTTGTGTAATTAATAATTTAATTAATTTTTCGTTTTCGTGCATCTTTTGTCATATGATTAAAAATTGAGCGTAACTTTTAAACTATTTATCGATAATAAAAGAAATATTTCTCTTTTTTATTAATCTCTAGTTCATTTCATTAACTATCTTACAGACATCGTAAGATAAGAGATTTGGCCCTTTTATTTGCTGTGAATTTATTTCGCAATGCTGGCGAATTGACGTGTTTTTGATATTCACTTCTAAAAGTTAATCAATAATTGCACAGTAATATAGATAATAGTATATTACATTTTTCAGTGATACCTTCCCTCTCATGGGTACGACCTTGACGTGGTAAGAGGGCTCAGTACCCGAAGGATATACACGAAAAGAACGGTTTTCCTTAAATATCTAAAAATTTTCGGATCTATCTGAATAATATGTCTAGATAAATTTTTAGATATTGAGTAAAATCGTTCTCTTCGTTTAAAAATCCAACGACGGGGAAGCTAACGTACCCTCGTCGCCGATTTAATTGAAAATAAACGAACCGCAGCCGGTTCGTCGCGTCGCGCGTTTGTTTCGGGAGTGCCGTAAAAGTTATCGGACTATTGGACTTTTAACAAAACCCATTCGATTAAATTCTAATTCGACGGTGGAATCACATCTACAATGTTTCGACAGGAAAGCGGAACTCTCTTTGAGACGTTGCTGCTTAATGCAGGTGACCGGTCACTGGTGCAATGCTCTCACGCCTCTCACGAGGTGAGGCTGGCCGCGTAATGTCACGCACGTGTTCGCGCGGTTTAGCAACTACCGTTGCTGTCGGCTAATTGAGGACACGCTCTGTCTGTCGGCAAACGGTTCGGCCCTTAGCGGTAAGAAGCGATCGATTGACTCGGATTCGTCTCTGCGTGTATTCTGTTACTCGTTATACAATTGTTATAACGATTGCACAACGAGTTACGGAATTTCGCTGGTGGTCGCTCAAAAAGGAGTTGTATAACTCTGGTCAGGGCGCTCATTTTTCCGGGTTTATCTACATGCTGAATCACGTTTAATCTGACTTGGTCAGAGCCTAGCTCTTAGTGGGATCTTAGGACCTAGCTCGTGACGAGGGGTTGGATCCCATTTCCTGGATCGTCTAGATTGTTAGACTCGGCAATGGGTACCAACTTTTCTCTTATTAGAGGCGCTTGTCACGTCTACCAGCCTTTTTGAATCGCTCGTGGTACAGCACCACTTGTGTCACACTAGAACTAGTGTTAGGGCGTATGCCTGAGCCAACTTTAAACGTGATTTCGCGTAAATCAGAGGTGATGGACTCGATACGATCGATCTCGTCTTCTTTCGTGTGGGGTTTAACTCTTGTTCGACGTTCATCGTGTGTTTCGCGTGTACTCGTCGACATGTGGTGTTGATTCCACCGACCGAAATGGAAATCATATATCATGGGTTTTGTAAACGTGAAATATACCGCAGTGTCGCGCGAAAGACTTTTCTAAATAATTAGTCCGCGCGCGATTATAATGTGTTATTCGCGAGTGTTTTACGCGAGT